TGCACCTTGGTCCTTCCCCACTGGTTAACCGTGCACTGCACCTTGGTCCTTCCCCACTGGTTAACCGTGCACTGCACCTTGGTCCTTCCCCACTGGTTAACCGTGCACTGCACCTTGGTCCTTCCCCACTGGTTAACCGTGCACTGCACCTTGGTCCTTCCCCACTGGTTAACCGTGCACCTTGGTCCTTCCCATTGGTTAACCGTGCACCTTGGTCCTTCCCCACTGGTTAACTGTGCACTGCACCTTGGTCCCATTACTTATCTTCCCTGGAGCTCAGTTTCCTCATCTATAAAATAAGGATAAAATACCTCATATCTGGTAGGATTTCTATCAGGATTAAATAAGTAAAATATGTCAGGTACATATAACAGTACCTGGCATGAATTATAAATGTTGGCTATCATCCTGGCCAGGTAGCTGAGTTCATAAGAGCATTGTTCCGATATGCCAAGATTGTGGGTTTGATGCCCACTCAGGGCACATACAAGACTCAACCAAAGAATGCATAAAGGGGTGGAAAAAAACAAATTGATGTCTCTCTCTGTGTGTCTGTCTCTCTCTCTCTACAATCAATAAGATAAAAAAATAATGAATGTTGACTATTATTATTACTTCATCTGCTGTATACAATATTCATTTGGTCATATTCGTAATAGATTATTGATCTTAGTTTCACTGGTATTCTTCTGCCCGCCTAGTAAAATTACATTCTTTTAAGTCAATACTGTAAATTACTCCTCTAATAAGCTTACAAAGTACCCACCATAGCAGTGAAGATAGTCGTATTAACTTAGCAAAATACAGATGTGGTTGGAGTAGTGAGAACGAGGATCTTACTGAAGACCTTAGACTTGGGACACAGGCCAAGTCTGTGATCATCAGTGACCTCAGCGCCACTGTGTGCCAGCTGCATGACCTTGGGAAAGTTCCTTCAATCATCTGAGCCTCACTGTTGTGATGTGTAAGCAGTGATAGCAATAATGCCTACAGCACAGCACTGTTTTGAGGCTGAAATGAGTAAATATACATGATCTTAAAACAGACCCGGGCAAGTAACAAGCATTGCTGAGCTCTGAAATAGCCAGACCCTGGGCAAAAGCATTCATGACTTGGGTCAAGGAAAAATTACTGTTCTGAGTTATATTTTGACTATTATACTGACTGGGCACTCTGAAAAATACAACTCTTTCAAACTCTAGAACTTAATAGTCACTTCCATATCCGGTGAAGGCCAGAAGTGATGATTCCTTTACTTGTTATGAGAAGTTATCTGTAGCATAAGTAGTACCTAGATTAGGCTTTTTAGATACCATCTCAATAGCTACGTGGTCAATAATCTCCCTCGTTCACTTAGTTTCAGTAAGTCTTTTCTTTTTCCAGCTGTCCACCTAGATTTTACCTTAACTGGCTAATGTCTGGGACTTGTTTTCTGTTAGAGGTTCTTAAAGAGCAGCCCTAAGTCTTGGGTAACCGGAGAAAGGTTTCATCTTCCCAAGCTCCTACAAGAGCATAAGTAGGATAATTCAAACTAGTAAGTGGAAGCCTGCATCACTGTGGAGAACCTCCAGCTGCGTGCCCTGACCACCTGGGCAGCTCCCTCTGCCCGGTGCCAGCCCTCTCCTGCCCTCTCTCCTGCCAGGCCACGCCCAGAAGAAGGAGAATCAGACACCTTGAAACCCTTGGTGGGAACACAGGCACAACTGCCCCTTCAGACTATGCCCCACTTCATGCTACACTGGACAGGGCTTTAACGTTTAATTTACTCAGGTCAAAACTGATATTATACGTCAATGAAAAGATTTTTAAAGGTACACTTATGTACTTATGTGCACTTTTCATATATACATTATATTTAAAATTTTAAAATTTTTAAATTTAATAGAAATATGGGCCCAACCATTTCTCTGAATTTGAGCTGCATTTTTAGACTAACAACCAGATGTTTCAAAATAGCCTACTGTGAACCATTTCCTCTCCTTGCATTTATAAATAGCGCCCTGACCTCTTTTCCAACTGAATCTGAGGGCTTGTTCCTAGTGGTTCTGCAACTGCCAAAGTCTCTCTTTCTTAAAAAAAAAAGGCTATCTCAGCAACTGTCTCCCAACTTATGGATTTGCTTACTTATAATTATTCATTCAATAAATATTTAAGGCACACAATTTACTCTCTCCAAGATAATAGTGGGAAATATTTGCAGTTCAAGATAACACCACCTATTATCTCATTTGAGAACTGTGCTAAGTGCTACAAGGGAAGTAAAGATGCAGTGTCTTCCCTCAAAGAGTTTAGAACCAAAGGGTAGATCAGACGGACTACAAGCCAAGGAAAGCAGTGTGTGTATGAACAGTCCCTTGTCTACCAGGACAGTACGTGCCAGTGAGAAAGGAATAGCAGAACTGGAAGACTCCGATGTACCCAAAACAACACTAAAAATAGTAATGATAACAAAAATCAAATGTTGTGACCTTGACTTTCACGCGATTCACATTTGAAGTATTGTTTTATTTTTAAGTACAGAGAGGGAGCACCATCATCTTTCATGCCTGCCAGGGAATTCTCAAAATCTCACATCAGCTTCATGGATACAGTGAAATAGGCAGTAAACTGAGCCTGGAGGATGGAGTGCTCAGAGAAGGAGTTACAGGTGGGAGCTTTAAGATGGACAGAAGAAATACAGCAAAAGGAGGTGGCAGCATCTGATTAGCAGGCATGCCACAAAGGGGACAGAGAGGGAAAAAATGTCTCCTAACAATAGCAAGGAGATGAGAGTAGCTGGGAGGGACCAAGAGTTCAAAGAAAGGTGACACCAGAAAAGGAAGCTGCAACCGGAGATGGAGGGCCTAGAAGAGCAGGCTGGAGACTCAACTTCACCAACAGACTGGGGAAGCACCCTGGCAACCGCTTTCCCCAACACGACCCACCAAGGCCAAGTCACCTGGCAGTCAGCACAGAGACCACACTTCCCTTCCACGCTTTCTTGATCATCTGTCCAACTCTGTGGGATTAAACCATTCTCTCCTCTTCCTAAAGCTAGGTAATGTAACAGTCCTTTTTGCATCCCATTTTGGGGAGAATCATAAAGGCAGATGCACTATTTCATCAGCTCGTCCCTAACAAGCCGTTACCTAGGCACACATCTCTGTACACAAATGGCAGAAGACAGAAACGTAATTCTCCCTATTTCTTCACTGGTAGTTTTATTCCTAAAACTGCTCAAAATGATTGCTTTCACCCACATCAGGACTCCTGTGTTTCCTCCATGGCATGGGCGAGGGCGCAAATTCGTGCTGAGTCAAAACTGTTACAAAATTTCACAGATCAAATTTCTAACTAGAAAAGATCATGTGAGAAGAATACCCTTGACTGTTCGGTTAAGAAAATAAGCGAGCAACGGGGTTTACCTACCATTAAATATTCAATCTGGCCAAAGCTTAAAAGAAACCTAAAATGATCAACTACATTGGTCTAAGACTTCATAAAAAAGATGAAGACATCTCACAGCCTCTTATCTCTCATTAATCATTTCTAGTCAAAGCTAAGAAATACTTTGAACAAATTAATGACAAGTTCTCTACCTAATTAATATTTTGCAGAGAATGTAAAAAAACCATCCACTTAGAGCAAGTGAAAAGCTTGAATCCACTGAGCCAATAAATAAATGGAGGGCGGGGAACACTTGTTAAAATAAAGCTATCACAGCAATGACCATCACTTAGCACTTTTACAGCACCTTTCACCAAATGGTCTCCAAGTTGCAGGGCGGCTGGGGTACAAAGTAACAAAAGAAAACCTTCCTAGATATCATGAGGTCTATAACCCAGCGCCTTAAGCAAGTTTTTAAAATGTCATAGTCACAGAGAGTTTATAAGAAAGTAGCAATTAGTTATAACATAAATTCTATACTTAACCATAGTCACTGTAGTTAAATTGAAAAGTATTCATTGAGTATCTATGGAGAAGGTTGTAGTGATAGGTGATTATGAATTTGTTTTCAAATGTACCATCAGCTTCTCCTTTCATGGACAACACAAAATTCGACAAGCTTACAGAAGGAAAAAACAAATGCATACACGCCCACATAGATAAGTCTTAACAAGTCATTTGATTTACCTTCCAGGTATTTTAATAAATCTCAGAGTACTGACAAATAAAGTCCTCATAAAATATTCCTGGTGTTAACACTCACCTGAAATGCATATGTTAAATATACAGGGTGGGGCAAAAGCAGGTGCACAGTTGTTCAAATGGAAAATAATACAATAAATAATACTACAAGAGTAAACTCTGCTTCCTGTACTCCCAACTGTACACCTACTTTTGCCCCACCCTGTACATTTAAAAAGGAACCAAGGAGATATTTCTACTTTAAACTTTAACCTACTTCCATGACCCATTTTACTTTTCCTTTCTTTTTACACACTGTTAATCAGAGAAATGTCATGAGGGTTTTCCTTCAATATTTCTATTGTAAGTGCATGAATTTTTAGAAGTATTTTTCTCTCCTTTTCCTTAAAAAAGCTAACTTCCGTTTTAAAACTGCCATAGCTTCATCTTCTAATTACAGTCCTTATGGGCAACATGCCACAAACTCGCTGGGTTGCAGAGTACTTAAGTAAGGGAAAATCAATACTGAGTTTGTAAGTACAATTCTGCAATTGGTAATCACAATGACATCCATTTAAAGGTAATTTTAAAAATAGTTTCTTTTTCAATATGCTTTCTTAAAACAAAAGGATACAGTCCACTGAGCAGCCTACTTCAAGGACACACTTGCAAAAAAAATGCTGCTATCACCATGCAAACTTGCAACAGCCTAAAATATTACTCCACACAAACCAGCTTCTATTTTCCTGTAATTATCAAAGGTTATAGTTCACGATATAATTTCACAAAGCCTCCCCCAACGGGGGAAAAAAAAACCAACAAAAAACAAAAACTCCAGATTGCCGCAAGGAGGCGGGGGAAGTGTTTAAGAAAACAAGCCAGGATGAACTTACTTTACTAAATGAGATGGGCACCCATTTCCTCGAGACCAGTCTCCAAAAGTCACAGAGAAAGATCAATCTGGTCAACTCACAGCCGACTGGTTGCCCTGCAGGGTGTTAGGTTGAGGCAGGTGGAAGTCAAATGACTGTAATTACAGTGAATGTACAGGCCTGTGGTCTCACGGCGTACAGCAAGCAGGATGCGGGGGGCTCGAAGATCAGAGCAAACTCGTTATCTCTAGAGAGTCAATAACTTGGTGCCTGAAACTCGCTGAAGGGCGGCTCCTTTTTGTTTATTTTTCTTTGGGGGAGGGGACGTGGAGGGTGATTCTAGCTGTCTATCCGGACTGTCACCCTCCAGGGCCAAGTCACATTAGTAAGTGGGTTTTTTGTATCCCTTACCCGCTTCTGGTTTCCTTTTAGACGCCCACACGCGGGAGCGAAATCCAAGGGGCTGAAACCAGAGCCCAGCACTTGGCGCTCTGGAAATTTACCCGCAAAAGTACCGCACAGTCCCAGCCCCACCTTAGACGGTCCTCGCACCCAGGCCAGGTCCCCGCCGCCCGGCGCACCCCGTGGCCCCGGCACTCACCTCGCACGAGGGCCGCCGGGCTCCGGAGGCGAGGCGGGAGGAGGGGGAGCCCGGGCGCCGACGTCTCTCCCCGCCCGGCTCCTCGCTCCTCACCCGTCGGTCCCAGGCACAGGGCCTCCTCCTTCTCGGTGCCGCCGGCTGCCCGGACAGCGGCCACGCGGGCGGCGCTGTCACCCGCCCGCGCGCCGCGGCCGCCGCACCTGGAGGCGGGAGCGCGGGGAGCGCGCAGCTCCGGAAGCGCCGGGCCCGCCGCCGGCGCCCAGCCCAGGTGCTCCCGCGCCGCGCCTCGGCCGCTTCCTCCGGTCCCGCGGGGGCGGGGAGCTGGCGCCCGGCGCGGGGGCAGCCCGGGCTCAGCGGCGGGGGCGGCGGAGCCGGCCGTCCCGGTTCCGCAGCATAGCTGGGCGGCTGACTCAGTCCGCCGCCGCTTGGCCGCGCCTGGCACCCGCGCCACCTGGCGCACCTCGGCTCGGAGGCTCCGGACCCGCGGGAGGCTGCGAGGGCGCGTCCAGAAGGGGAGATGGGGCGGGGGGGGGGGGGGGGGGCGCTGTGTCCTCCCGGGAGGGAGATGCCCGTGACCGCTCCCCGGCTCCTGCCGGCCAGTGGGTTTGCTGATGCGCTCGGGATGGGTTGGTTGCTTGTCAACAGGGCGGAACCTCGCCACCACTGATTATTAGTGTTGCTCTACTACTTTCCAAGTTGCCTGAGCATTTCCCAAACTTGATTCACCTGGGGCGCTCGTTTTCCCAGGCTGTTTCTCGGTAAAGTTGCAATGAGTGAGCACAGGAGTCTTTACTTACTGAGCCCAGTACTGATTATTTGGCTGAGTCCATTATATAGGATGCTACTTTAAGTCATTCCTGTGAGGAAGGGAAATATACCCATTTTCTAGTTAATGAGCTTGAGAGGCAGAGCAGTTTGCCCAAGCAGACATAGCTTTAAAAGCTGGAGGTGATTTTCAGTTTGGATCTAAACTCTTTCCCCTTAGGACTTCACATTGATATTTTAAATTTCTCTTCCTTGTCTTTTCTCCTGGAGGGGAGAGAGAACCACGCTCCAATCTCCCCCCTAAGGATTGAGCCAGGAAAGACATTCCCCCTTAGAGTTGACACGGGGCTCTTGACGCTCTACTCTTAGTGATACTAAGGAGACAGCAAAAGAAAATAAGGGAATAAGCACTGCCCCGTGTGGCTCAGTGAATTGAGAGCATTGGCCTGCAAACCATGAGGGCTGCCAGTTCAATTCCTAGTTAGGGCACAGGCCTGGGTTGTGGGCCAGGTCCCCAGTAGGGGTGCAGGAGAAGCAACCACGCATTGATGTTTCTCTCCCTCTTCCCTTCCCTCCTCTTACAAAAAATAAATAAATAAATAAAATCTTTCAAAAAAAAAAAAGAAAATAAAGGAATCAAAAACAAACAACAAAAAACCTGTGTGCTTCCAGTATGAGTTTCTAAAATCCACTTGTTTGCCATGACTTCAAGGCCTACTCCTTGGTTTTATTTTTAAAATCATGTCTTCACAGACTGAAATTCTCTCCCTTGACAGACATAATGTCCTTATCTTTCCCCTGTATCTGTTGATAGACGTGAAGCAATTAGGGAAAGTGGTGAACTTATTATAAAAATGAGATAATTGTTGAAGTACAGCGCGTGGGCAGCTTCCCAGGAGCCCAGGCCTTCAGAGGCACCATCTTCATCAACATAGCTGCACCCAGAAAACACACTCCTGCTCCCAGAGACTCGGACTCCGCCGTGGCAGCTGCAGAGACACCGGTCCCCAGTTTCTTTCCAACTTCAGTACTTCCGAGCATATCCTATTTCCACCAGGGAAGTTTTCTTGACATTTTCTAAACCTCAAGAATTGTTTTTTCTTTGGATTCCTGTAGGCTCTTTCCTGGCTTCATTTTAAGTCCGTACCCTTTTGTTTTTGTTTTGTTTTAAGTTGTTTGCTCTCCCTCTCAGAGTTCTCACATACTTTCAATTATTTTTATCTTTGTAAGCCACCTTAAATCCCTTTCTGAACAAGGTAGGTTATAACTAAACAAAAATTCTTGCATCGGTTATGGTATGTCTCGGAACACCAGGCTTTGTTCTGTCCTGAAGTTACCTCTCTTGGAAGATTTTATAAACTAATTGGGACTTTGTGCCTCTTTGCAACAGTGTGTCCTAGTTCCTTGATTATCATTCAGTCATTTATTGTTTAAAAACTTTATTGAACACTTACTTTTTGATAGTTTGAAAATACAGTAATACAGTAGTTAGCACCTACAATACAACCTCTGGATTTAAAGTCTTGTCTGAGGGGAAATAAAGTTAAGAATTGTGAGGCACAGCAATCATTTAATAATAACTCTCTGGGAAGTGAAGAAACAAAGTTCCCCCATTGAATGCACACATTGCTTATAAGATGTATGCTGGTTTTAAAAATCTTATTACATGGAGGATCATAAAAGATAAAGGAACTGTGGCAGAAACCACCTTTTATTACTCGGTCATTAATCATACCAGGTTCTAGCCAAACATTTAATATATATGTTGTATGTATACAACAACTCTATGAGTTGGAAATGTTTTCCCAATTTCATAAATATAGGCTTAATTGAGACTTAAAGGGGTTAAATAATAAATAGTATGTAAAGTGAACAAAACTAGGCTGTATTTGTAGACTCTAAATTATTTACATAGCAGCCTTCAGAGTGGGGCATTCAGAAATCAAAAAACAGGAAAATTAACTTTAGAAGAATTGAGGTGTGAAACTCTGTTTACTGCCAAGGATATTGTGTATATGTTCCCAGCAGTTTTCCTCTAGGCTGGATTTAGTCCGAATGACCCACTCCCAGTCCTGTTTCCTCCATGTTGAGTAAAGAGCAGGTACATGCCAGGTACAGGCTCTGTTCGTGGTCGACTTTGTCTTTGCTCCTCCCACCCCTCTTATCCAGAATGCACTCTGGTTCCAAAAGAGACAATTTCAGAGACTAGAAATCATCTTCTTCCTCCTCCTCTCCTCTCCCTCCTCTTCCTCCCTAACCTTTTCTTCACATCATGGAGACTAACACCCACAGTGCATTTATAGCCAGTTGCTATTCCCATCACTCTGTACAAGCTCATTTTAATTATCTCAACAGCTCCTTGAAGAGATGATGTTATCATACCCATGATAAGGAACTTTAGAAAGGGAGGTTGAGCAATTTACACCAATTAGGGTCGTCAGGGAGAGAGAATTTAAGCCCAGTCTTCCCCCGGATCCACCCTGTGCACTGGATCACCTCCGGGAAGAGCACAGAGCTGCACCAGGCAGGCCCGCACTCGGAATGAAACCTGATTTGTGTGGGCTGTGGCATTTTGAGCCAACTCATTGATTTCTCTGAGCCTCAACTTTCCCATCTGTAAACAGGGGATAATAAAACCTATGAGAATGTAGTATGATTACATAGCAAGGCACCAAGAGCAATAGAAATCCCTTAATATGTGTAGTTCTATTCTCCTTTCTCTAATTATCCTTCAACACAGGTTCAAGTCTGACCTCCCTCTCAGGCCTGTCTACATCACTGATACCAGAAGTGCTTACGCAACAGAATTTAAAGTAATCCCTCCAGTGTTCTCTGAAGAAACCCCAGTTACATTTTTGCCAAATACAACATTTTAGGGATATAGATAAAATAGGCATGTCTACTTATTTATTTAATACTTAATTCATTTTAGGTAAACAAATATAAAAGTAAAACTATACATTGATGCATAAATGTTGCCTTTTCCATTTCTATTTTTAATAATTTTATTCAAATTTTAACTTGTCATCATTGACTTTATCATGAAAAACACATTTCGAATCATCAGTGAGTTTTTTTTCAGAGCATACTTTTTTCACTTCTCTCATTACTTTTGACGTTCGTTCACTATCTGAATCCTTTTATGATTCTGTCACTGAGAATTTTATTACCAACCACATTTCCACTTGCTTTATATTAAGAAGTTGTTTCTTCTCATTCGTCCTAAACATGTACAATAGCCATCTCCACCAGCTTCTGGCTTTTTGAACGATTTTTAAAGGTAAGCTTGCACTACAACATAGGACACTCAAAATTGGGTGCCATACCCCGATAATGATTACTCAATCTGTTTTAACTATCTTTGCCTCCTTCCATTTTAAACCAATTTTGTCGGTGGCCTTTGTGTGGACCCCAATCCCACAGTAGGACTGATTGAGGATGTCTCATGCTGCGCCCCCCACCCCCGACTCCAGTCCTGTGGGAGTTTGCAGTTCAGACTAAGGCACTGTAATCGAAGACTTGTATGTAGAGTTCCCATGACAGAGATGCCGCATCCACGGCCTGGTTACACTGAACGAACTCTTAATCCTCTTGGCCAGGCTGGAAGGGAGGAGTGATCATTATCTCCTTTTGTAGCCAGTAAAGAACCCAAGGCTTAGAGAGGTGATCTTATCTAAGAACTGGGGAGCAATAAATACGGCAGAAAGGATTTGAACCCAGATAAGGTGGATTCAAAGTCTTTACCTTAAGCATTCTGCTGTGATGCCTCAGGGAAGACTTTTAAAGTTTTGACCATAATGTCCTCTTTTCTGACGCCTAGTTTTTGGGCAAAAAGGATGTGCCTTGTGTTCAGGCATATTCAGAAGCAACACCTGCTTGAGTGTGGTTGGTAGGGTAATAATATGGGTGTAATAATGTACAGTTCTAATTTGAACATTTCATCTAAAAGGTCAGGTGGTATGCCTGAGTGTGATATTGTTATGCTACAGAATCACACACTTACAATTTTGTAATAAAAAGGGGTGTTATTTGTGCCAGAACCCGTGCAATACCATCTTTTGGATTGTCCCACTACCCTTTCATTTTACTGTTACCGAGCTTGTCCGTGGGCTTTCCACTGTGTGTATTGAGGAGCTTTTTGTATTACCATTTGTATTCTAGAAGTACTGTTACCTCTCTTGGAGTACTCTTCTCAGTCGTCCTTGCAATGAGGACAATGATACGTCAGTCCCCTGCAAAGTAGGCACCTTGGGACCTCACAGAGTTCTCGTCTCCAAGTCACCATGGACTGCCCCATCATATTTTCCTGAATCTCATCAACAGTCTGAAATCTCTTCCCTTTCCAAGGTGATTTTAGTTTTGGGAAAAGGCAGACATTGTGGAGCCCCAAATCTGGGTTGTAGAGGGGCTGAGTCACCTGGGTGATTTGATATTTCACCAAAAACTGTGAACAAGATGTGATGCATGAATGGGTATGTTGTCATGATGAAGCTGCCAATCACTAGTTGCCCACAGCTGCGGCCTTCTGAATCATCTGAACAGTTTCTGCAGAGAAAAGTTCAAGCTTAACACAAAATTCTATGCAGATTCATCACTCAACACGCTCGGTCATTTTGAGTGTGATGGCCACACAGTGCATATGCTCACCTAACAGCATCTACCGCCCCCACTGACCAGTAAAATGG